TTTGAAACCTAAAACAACCCCTCATTTTCACCTTTGCTTTCATTTTATTAGCAGCTTCAGCTACCTGTAATGAGGAGTATAGTATGTTTATATTCAGTTAGAAAAAAATATTTCCATCTTACTTCACTGAGCAGATTATGTGAAAGGAGATGGAATGAAGACAACATATACAAACATGGCACAATGCAAGATAACAGAAAGCATGTTCAATCAGTCCTGCTTCTCTGCAGAGCAGCATGAGGTCACTTTTTACCCATCTCTTTATCTTGGCACCTGAGAGGTCTTTAGTAAAGGCGATTAGGTTGGATGGAGGGTTAATTATCTGCTTTACTGCTAGGACTAAAATATTACTCTGCATTATTACTCTGTACTAATTAAATTGAATTTGCCCATGGGGAACGTGTGGGGTTTCAAACATATGACTTGTATTATTCAGAATCAGTTCTTTTAAGATGACTACTATATATCCCACAGCAGTACTAAAGAATATTTCTGTTTTACATTTTATACATGTGCCTGTCTGTCTACATCACATGAAAATATAACTTATTTTACAATGGGGGAAGTGAGCATAGCAGTCCAAAATTTCACCCTCATTGGTTGTTTTTTTAATGTTTTTAAAATAAAAGAATGAGCAGACAGGAGCATGTCTGCTTTTGGAGCATGTAGCTAGGAAAAAAAATTGGATCACTCATTCATCATATTACTTCTTTCTTAAGATCAGGTCCTGCTTCTTATTTAAATAAAAGCCAAATCCACAATTGTGTTGTAAACCTTCTAAAAATGTAGTTCTGAATACTTGTGCATCATATCAATTCTTACCGTATCTATAATAGTCACCCACTGGGGGAGATGGGCGGCATACAAATTTGAAAATAAATAAAAAATAAAAAAATTAGTAGCCTTCAGCCTTTTTAATTCTTTTTTTTTTCTGTTCTGTTTTGTGATTTTTTTTCTCCCACTTTTCTTGTCTTAGTACGTTTGTTGGTGGGACCAAGGGAGGTGCACTTTTACAGGTGAACAGGGGAAGTAATTTTAGGTTTCAGATATGATTAGATACCTTTTCATCCCACCTTTAACAATGAGTGGGAATGTGAGAAGTATAGTTTGGGGAGCAAGATCTAATTACTTATCCTCCCTGTCCCGATCTTTCACTGGCTTGGCTATAAAACCTTATTTCTGAAGCAAAACTATAATCTCTGATTGCTGACACTGCCCTATATGGGGCTGGAGGTTTTAACTTATGAACCCTATAGTCTATAGACACGATATTTTGGGTGACACACCAGCGTTCACCAACACCCAACAACAACTATTCTCCCTGTTTG